TGCCACTACCAGATGCCACTGCCACAAATTGAGCTAAGCTCTGCTAAAAAACGTGCGTGCTGGTGTTGGGCCTCAGTTAGGTCCTGCTGGAAAATCCGGAATGGGAAACTGGCTTGTTTTTTTTCCCCAAAAATCAGGGACTCACCTGCAGGCAGTGGTTAAATGATGCTGCTTGTATACCAGGAAACAATGATAAACGCACCAAGGCAAACTACTAATGTTATAAACACCAAACTCACAGATCATATACACAATTCAACTTCTAAGAAAAAAAATGTAAGTTATGAACTTATAATGTCCCCTAAGTTTATATTTGTCTTTTAAAAGAACAAATATGTCAAACATACATCAAAGTTTTTTATGACTAAAGGAGGGAAACATGAAACTGCTGAAATGCCCCTCATCTTAACCCAATTTGATATTTATGGAGTACGATTAAAATTAGGGATGCAAACTGAATAACATTTGTAATATGCGTTTTTGCATATTGCGTATACTGCGTATACTAGTGCGTATGCTGCGTTTTTAAAATTGCATTTAAAAATTGCAATTTTAAAAATGCAGTCATGTTACATTAAACAAGAGGAGGACACATCATTTCTCACTCCATTGCTTTAGGTTGCAGCGACAGGCTTTAAGTGGGTTTACCGCCATACAGAGGGTAAGAGAGGGGCAACTAGCAAACATTTCATGCATGCTGCAAGCTAGAGGTAAGCACTTTTTTACGCAGCAGTAAGGTCCTCTGGACAGGAGAACAAGCTATGAAAGCAATGAAACACTGGCGCTAAAGAGACAAGCACCATCTACAGTCTGGTAATACTTGAATAAAGTGACTGCGTGCATTCTGAAATCGTTTTATTGCCATTAGATTAGTCACCAGTAAAACTATTAAATACGTAAACTTGTTTGTTAGCTGCACTCTGTGCTTTATGTTCAACAAAGACTTAAGTTAAACTGTTACTTTGAATAAAAACATTTGAATAAGTAAAGAAAACTGTTCTGTTTTTTTTGCTCTAAGTACATTTTGTTTACAAACAAGGATAGGGCATATTTGTTGCTTTTGGTTAGTGCAATAAAAAAAAGAATCTAAATATACATTTTTGGCAGGACTATAATTAAAAAATGGGTTGTGAATGAGCTTTTGTATATAATCTAAACCCTGTAGAATTAGTCATAAACCCTAATTAATTCAAAATTCAACACCAATTCCTGTTAAAGAGACTGACATAGCCTTCAGCATTGGTCAGTTTTGTGCAACTGGAGAACCTGAACCACACAGCCCTGTCATGTCAAAAGAAAATGAACCTATACATTTACAGTAGTTTGCAGTTTTCCATATGTACACACTGATGCCTGCTTTTGCAGCAGCTCACTAGAACAGCAGTGATTACTGGACAGTGGAAGAAAGATAGGGAAATCAGTCAATGCTCTGCTATTAGTTTGGGCTTTTTGTGAATATCTCTTTATCTGCTAAATCTTTTTTCACACATATATGCCACTGTATAATGGAACCTGTCCTGTTAAACCACTTCCTAATTTTTTTAACAACATGCTGCAGCTTAACATTTATTTTTTTTTTACATCATCACAGTGTTCTTTGTCATTAGCTACAATGTTAGTTGGTCTTAGGTTATTTTTAAGGGGACAGTCTAGTCATATGAAGCCAAAGCTCAACCTTTTCACCAGGGTGCAAAATTCTTTGCATGGTTGAAAAAATGCATATCACAATGAAAAGAAGAGCCTACATGGAAACACGGTGGTGGTGGCATCATGCTGCTCTTCAGGAGGGACAGAGAGCCTAAAAATTCAAATGATATTTTCTTTTTAATCAAGCTTTGACACATATGGGGCCTGAGTACTATTATGCAAAACACATATTTGCAAGTCATTTACCTCATTGTATTTGTCTGTTACAAGAAAATAAATAAATTAAGGGAGTCATCACCAGGAAATCAAACTTTTTCATATTGTAACATATCTATTGGTGTTGGGCTTCAATTAAAACCTGCCAGGAAAAAAAAACAGATTGTGAGAGAAGCCCACAAGAGCACGTTCTCCACAAATGGTGACTTCGGTCCTCCTCCTATAATGACATCAACTCTGGAGGGGAACTAACAATAGACCACCTTGCTATCGCCATTTTTTATCTCTATTTCACCAAAGGAGGCAACTCCAACAATTAGGGAGTCACCTGCAGACAGTTGATAAGTTTTGCAGCTTGTTTTACTTTTTACCTATTTTGTAAGAGACCGCCAATGCTGCATCCACAGGAGGGCGCATACATATGAGTCAAAAAAGGGGTCCGAATTAGTTACATTTTTTTCTTTTCTCCTGAAAACGATGCGAAGAGTTCAAGCGGTTTGCACACGTCTGTTGGGGCTTGCACAAAGCCGAAGACGGATTTTTTATATTAATGCATTTAACTTTTATATGTGTAGTACAAACAAATAACACACACAACAAATAACCGGAGAGAGAGTTTAGAATACGAATATTGTACATTGGGGAGTTTAACACCCAACTAATGGAAAATTCAGACATAACCAGAGCGCACATCCAGAGCCAGACCAATCCATCTCCTCTCTGTCAGTACTGTTCTGCGTCAGGGTGTTTGGATGTGTCACAGGAATCCTGCAGAGACCAAACAATCGATAAGGAGCAGGATATAGCACACAGCTCCAATTGATCTGTTTTTCGGGCAAATTGGAAGCAATTCAATCCTCACTCCTCTGGTGAAAAAAAGATTTACAGCTTTTTAGTGTGCTTTGATGAAATATTTAGGTGCTACCTCCCCCAAAGTGGCATTAAATTGCTTTTAATTTCTGTAAAACTGTTACTTACATTCTTCATTCATGCTTCAAACACTGAAATCTGGCCAGGCACAGGACAAAATGTACCCAAAGGGAAGGTTTGGAACAAAGTGTGGCCTTCTTGCATACATTTTGTTAAAAGTAATACGTCACCTTATAGACAGCTCTTTTCAGCTCCACTGTGCATAAAGTTTGTGATAAAGTGGGAACATAATTAGCAGAAATCATACATCCCAGTATTCCCAACATTTTCTGCTGCTTTCAACACTTGAACTTGAAGTTAGACAGGGTTTATTTAGAAAATTGCATCTCCCATTGTACAAAAGTGACCAGGAAAGAAAAATAACAGGGTAGCCTCTCTCCACACTCATCTAGAGCTTTCTAAAAGCTCTATATTCTTAGGGGAAGTGGTGGCTGAGCTGTTAGGGCATAGAGCTTGGAATCCTGAGGTTGTGAGTTTGAGCCCCACTGCCACTCTGGGTCTCTGAGCAAGAACCTTAACCCAACACTTCTCCCCAGCTGCCCGATGGTAGCCCACTGCTCCCCAAGTGGATGGGTTAAACGCACAGGTAAATTTCTACGATATAAGATCAATAAAGTTCAAAAATTATTAGATGATTGTCTGACTCGCACAAATGTCCAAGTTGATGCCTTTTAAACACACAAAGCATGTTCAGTCTGAACGAACCATCACAGCTTAAGGCGAGGCAGGTCAGCCTCTTAGATTGAAAAATGGAGATACACTCTTGCCAGCGCGTTTAAACCTCACCTCTTAAGTAACAATGCAACTCTTAAAAATGTTTAGCATTTGACGACTGATGTTTCAGAAGTAGATTTTCCTAATAGTCAAACACATCTGTAAGCTTGTCTGCTGTGCTTAGAAATACATCTGGTTTATTTAGATCTCTATAGTTTGTAATTTCTATACAACAAAACACAACAATATTTGTAGTACTTGCAGTAGATACTAACTTTATTTTAGTTTAGAACTGAAATAAAACCCGGCATCTAGGTAGCCTAGTAAACTAGCTCCACCTGCTATTGGCCAAAATCATTTTTGCCTGCAAGTGGTCTAGCATCGATCAATGCCCCAGACCCTAGAACTGGCAGGCCAATCACAACGCATAGATGTGTTTTGAATTTTTGGATGCAAAGCGGGTGGGGTTTTGAGGGCGGGACGACAAAGCTGTGCGATGCTGGAGAAAGCACAACAAGGAAGATGGCAACAACTATTGAACAGTAGCATGCACTGTGGCAGCAGCAGCTTTCAATGGTGCGCTCCATTGAAAGTTAAAAGTTCTATTTTCTGTTGTTCAATAAAAGCACGTTTCAAGGTCATTTGAGGCGAGAATATTATACTTTAAAGTGTCACTATATGGTCCATTTATCGATTTAATGCGTAATTAAAAGACAATTTCCGAAGTTGAGAGGACCGCGGCAACCGGCTGAGCTCCGAGGCTAATGGCAGCCAGGGCTAACCTCAGCACATCTGCAGCGGGCCTCTCTCTGCATAGTTATGTGTGAAGGACCGCTGGCTCTGATGGCGATTTTTGACTCAGCTTTGGAATCAGTTTTGGAATGATTAGAATTAGGGTTTTCGTTGAAACGTGAGCAGGAAGAGGCTTTACGTTCATTCATTTTTAAGAAGGACATATTCGCCATTTTACTGACAGGCTGTTTGTTTACACTCCCCCACCAGCTTTCTGTCTTACTACGTCACAGTCAGTTGCGCTCAATGGTCAGAGCGTTGGACAATATGCATAGACATGGTTTGAAAAGCAACGGATTGTTCTCATCAACAATCTTCCGATGTCTCATTCATCGGGGCCAGACTAAATTACCCATTTAATCTCACATTTAGTCTGGTTTATCAGGCTAGCATCTAGGCATACTGACTGCTTCCAAACACATTTCTGAAGAAATATGTCACTCTTAGGAGCGACTGGTAACATTGGTAACTAGCCCATCCAGGAGAATGACACTTGACGACACTGTGTAGGGCAAAAGGTGTGGTGCAAAGGGGATTACGGTGTATGGCTCTTATTTAGAGCTTTGGCCCAGTTGATTACTTTCAAGGAAAGAAACTCTTCATAGTTAGACAATTTAAACAATAACATCATCACAGCAAGGTCCGCAACTTTTCAGCACATGGATAAAATCTAATTATTAGGAACAGTCAAGGTGTTTTACCTTCTCCTTAGTGCCAGCTTGCATGGGGTCGGGCCTGGTACGGATAGTAAATGGCGAAGCAAGTCTCAGCAGTATGCCCTGGAAAGAGGGTTCCATCTTGGGTGAGACAATCTCAAAACAGTCCCTGAATGAGAGAATCCTGTGAGGCTCAATGCGAGCCTGTTTCCTCAGTCCTTCTCCAAGCTGCAGCAGCTCCATGCGATGCCCCAGGACTAGGTGAAAAGGGAAGGCACGGCAGAACGTAGCCAGGGAAATGCGAAGATCGCTGGGATTAGTAGATAGGTGAAGTGGGGGGCGGTTAGTGCTGACAGATGCCGAATTTGGGATGGAAGAGAGCGGAGAAGTGCAAGTCTCTTGGATTAAGAAGGATAGACAAACTGTGGGGACTGAAGTTGGAAAAAGGGATGGAGGGGACGGGGATGAGGGGGGTGAAGCAGTGGGGGACGCTGTGGGAGTGGGGGTTGTAGAATCACAGTCTGTTTGTTCAGCATCTTCATTTGGCAGCAGGGGAGTTAGAGGTGGCACCTCTTCCACTTCAACCTCTGAATGAAAGATTCGCCTGGCGACAGCTCTAATCAAACCTGGCATAACTAATCCCACAACAGGTGCAGGGTTGAAACAGTGAAGAAACAGCACCTTCCCTCTGCTGTCTCTGCTGCCACGATTTCCAAGCTTCTCCAATTTCCCTCTATCTTTCTCCTCTTCGCGGGGGTCCTTGCACTGAAAGGAAGGGCTCTCGGAGGAGGCTCGGCGCCCCGTGGAGGTGCGAATGTGTTCTAAAATGGCGTCAAAACCATTGAAGAAATCCTGAAGGTTGCCACCTACAGCCCGCAGCACTCGCTCGTTCTCTTCGAAGCAGAGACCAAAGAACTCCTCTCCAAAATGCTCTCGCAGCTCACAGAATGGCACTCCTGTGGAAAAAAAAAAACGGGAAGCAAAAACGCCAACATCACCAAGGTAGCTCTGCACTATGAAATAACACCACAGAAAAACTTCACAGCCCAAATAAATAGAATCAATAAAAAATACATTACTAAAGTTAGTGTTACATTCATCTTTTACTACTTTGCTTAATTAAAAAATATGCAAATTAAAGGCTAGGCTGCTTAATATTATACATGTTGCTTTTAAATGAAGACTGCTGTTTCGTCCTGTTCCCAAAAATAAATGAATTTAAATGTACTTCAAGCAAATCGACCACAGAAACTCATTGGAGTAATCAGACATCAAAGCTTTGTAAAAAGAATGAATATTTATAGGATAAAAAGATAATCGGCCCACTAGCTAAATAATATCAGGGAATAAAAAACAGGATTAAAGGATTACAGCAGAATACATTTAATATGAAAAATATAATCATGTAGAATCACAGCACAGCAACATCAAATATAGAAGTTGGATCGTTAATGAGGTCTTGGAGGGAATGTAGTCCACCTAAGGCTTCCTTTACTTCTTCCTATGGATGCATTCCAGTCAAGGCTGACTATAAGATGATTCCTGAGCAAACCTCTAACACACTGCAGGGCTCATCTTAAAGGAAAAAGGTTCTGGATCTTTCAGAAAGAGTTGAATGAGGTCTCTAACAGTCTAACATTAAATCTGACCAGAATAAACAGCATTAACAAAAAGTAGAAAAGGTGATGTATAAACCTTTGCAGCGGAGTCAGTCCCATTTAACCAACTAAAAAGGCTGGTTTCAGAGCTGACTGTTTGACAAGCAACACCATTTTTGGATCCACTGAGTGTTTAAATCAAATAGTCGTAATAAAAGTAGCAAAAAACGATGTCTGAAAACAGGATATTATTTCGATGGGTTTTGTAAGACACTGATCTTGAAGTGCCGAGTATTAAAGCATGTGTATGGCAGGAGTGGCTTTAAAAACATGTATGACAAGGATGATATGGTCAAAATACTCATTATTCAATAATTCTGCACACTGCACAGTGTACTAAAGGACATAAAAATCGGGGGGCCTTTCTCCGTATGTCCTGCCCACCCATCAGCTCAACAGACAGATATTCAATTTACAGCAGCAAAGAGGCAGAAACAAAAGAACAATAGCAACGAAGCAAATATATGCTAAATGTAAAATGGATTAAGATACAAACCAGGCCAGATAAGATTTTTTATATTAAACCTACAACTTTATATCCTTAATTTATGAATGTCAAACATAAAAATAATTTCATGCTTACCTAATATTGTGGCCATATACTGAAGAATCTGTAGGACATCTTCTTCTGAACCAGAGTTTTCAAGAAACAGGCACTTCTCCTCCTTTTTCTCATGCTGCCTTTCCCCACCTTCTTCATTCTGACACCTGCGGGTCCCACAAAGTAAACAGATAAATACATAATCAACCCTGGGATCAATAAAAGAAACCAATATGACGCTCCAACTCATAAAAGGCAACATTTATCTCATTTTAAATGAATGCATTTGGAGCCACATCTGGTTAGATTGCAGAGGAGTAAGAATCTGTTGCAGAAAGTGGCACATTGTGTTGGAAATCATGGTTCAAAGCATGAGAAAAAAAGTAGCTGCTTATTTTCCGTAAAATGGTAGATGCTCTATGTGTATTGTGTTCATATTAAATCTTGAATAGTGAAAGGGAAAATATACCATAGTCAATTAAAAGTGACCCCCCCCCCCCTCCTTCTGGGTAATTTTTTTGTAACAGATGTTTTAGATAATCAAATATTAATATCAGACAAACATAACCCGAGTTAAGCTCATGGGCTTTTGGATTATGAAGCAGGACATGGATCCATTAAAATACTCAAATGGCCTAGTCAAAGATTGGACTTGATCCTATTTAGATGTGGGTTTACTCACAAAGCCTCTGATTAAGCTGATTCTGAAATTCTGAAAAGTAGAGCGAGCCAAAATGTTCCCTACAGGACTGCAGAGGTATTGCAAAACACTTGATAGCACTCAGTGCTGCCAAAAAGCCAGGTAGGAATTTTAGGCAATTACTGTCTCACATACTACAGATCAGGTTGGTTTTACATTTTTCACCTTAATAAAAGAAACAAAAACAAAAAAAGAAATTTATGTATTTACTAATGTTATGTTTGTCTTATGTTAAAATTTGTCTATTGAAAGAAAAACATCTGTGACCCAAAAAAAAAAAAAAAACAAAGCATAAGAAACCTGTAGGGGGTAAATTCTTCTTTTCATGGCGCTGTATTTGATTTTCCACATTAGGACGCTCCGCTGCACATCAGTTAATTAGGTTACACAGACTGAAGCCATAGTGGGACACACAGAAGACCAGATGCAGCATTTCTGCATCTGTATTCAGTATATGCTGTTTGAAGGTTGTTTCTAAGTTTTGCCGCTTGGCTGGAAACCCTCTGCTGAGTTCTACTGTTTTGACAGGGCACAAACAAGAGGTGAAGGAGTGAGACTAGGTGTTTGCCTATTTCTTTGTGTGTGTGAGAGACTGAACGAGAAAAGAGACGACTGCAAAGCAAACAAGAAGTGGCAGAGACTGTGAAAGAAGAGGAGCGAACCGGTGTATGACGTGTGACAGACAAGTGTGAAAAATATAAGGAGTCAAATGGGAAGTGAATGACAGGAATACCTGAGACATGACAGGGGATGGACAAAGGCAAGGAGACGAGAGGGGAGGAGAGGGGAAAAGAAGCTCTCAGGAGGGAGTGACTGTTAGATGTTCATACCTGATCTCTTGTTTTCTGTAAAACTGCAGAGTTCGATGTAGAGCCTCCTGAACAGTCTGTGTCTGTAAAGAAAGATGATATTATTGAATAATGGTTTGTATTTAAAGCACTTTAAATACACTGCTGGAAAACAATAAAGGAAACACTCAAATAACACATCCTAGTTTTGAATGAATTAAATATTTGTTCTGTACAAAGTTGAATGTGCTGACAACAAAATTGCACAAAAAGCATAGATGAAAATCAATTGTATTAACCAATGGAGGCCTGGATTTGGAGTCACACACAAAGATGGAGTGGAAAAAACACTGCAGGCTGATCCTACTTTGAATGAATGTCTTTAAAACAGGTCAAAATGAGGCTCGGTATTGTGTGTGGTCTACATGTGCCGGGATGACCTCTGACTTCTGATGAGATAGTGGATGGTCTCCTTAGGGATCTCCTCCCAGACCTAGACTAAAGCATCAGCCAACTCCTGGACAGTCTGTGGTGCAACGTGGCATTGGTGGATGGAAAGAAATGCCAATCAACGCCATTACTGACCAACTGCCAAACCAGTCATGCTGAACGATGTTGCAGGCAGCAGCTAGCTCTCCACGGCGTCTAAAGACTCTGTCATGTCTATGACAGGTGCCCAGTGTGAACCTGCTTTCATCTATTAAGAGCAGAGGGCAACAGGGGTGAATTTGCCAATCCTGGTGTTCTCTGGCAAAAGCCAAGCATCCTGCATGGTGTTGGGCTGTGAGCACAACTCCCATCTGTAGAAATCAGGCCCCTATACCATCCTCAATGAATCGGATTCTAACCTTTTGTGCAGACATACGAAATTGGCACAGGCTAGAAAACTTCTGATCATTATTAGTATGCATGTAAAAGATCAAATATTAAGGAAACAAATATTTACATGCTTGATGCTTTATAGAGCATGAATAAGATAGAAAAATTAAACTTTAATTAGAACAGTGGTACTATGACTATTGGGCTAGGTACATACGATGCATATTAGCCATCCACAAAAAGTCCCACTATAAATAACAAAAAACAATATTAATCATGATTAAAGTCCATTTAACAGGGCTATTCTGGGGACTTATTGTACAAGATTTTGTTAATATTTGTGAAGCTCTGGGAAGCCTGAATATGCATTTAAAGGTAAAGTCTTATTACCCTCCTTAAAACCAATTTTTCTTGTAGTGTCTATCTTATCTTTGCTTTAGATTGTTACAGAGAATTTCCAAATGACCAGAAGAAACACACAGCTTGATCGTCTGTGAGGGCAGCTGGCCTGTTTTGCGCTGCTGGCAGACTAAGCTTTAGAGGGCGGGTCTGACACGATTATCTGCGATACGGCTGAAATGCACGGCTGTTGTGACAATACTGGAACACAGAGTGCCAGCTGGAGAGGTCATTCTGGGGCTTCCAATCACTCTGGACAGATCCAGGAGATTTTCTGAGTCTGTGTGCATTTATTTTGTGTGCTTGTGTGAGAAAGGAACAGACGGAAGGAAAAGGAGGAATGTTTTGGGGTATATTAGGCCAAAAAAGGACCCCAAGAAACTGAAATAGATAAGATGTAGTTTTTATGCTAGGGACATGTGATGATACCAAGAATTTTTTGAATCGCTTTACATGCATCACTTTGCTAACACAAAATCAAAAGAAGAAACAGCACTGCAAGAATGACCTAGAAATAAGTAAAATCTTCTTGAATTAAGAGTATTTAGTCTTAATTTGAGTAGGTAAAGAAGATTTGCCAATGGAATTCGTTTTTTTTTTTTCTTAAAATAAGATAATTATATAATATGCACTTGAAATAGGACAACGCAATAGTTTTTTTTTCTTATTTTAAATGAAATTTGTTTTGTTCCATTGGCAAAATGTCTCACTTACCCCCTGAATTAAAGAAAAAAATGCACATATTTAATGAAAAAATTACTTAATGAGAATACATTTTTTTGCATTAAGTTTATTTATTTATTTATTTTTTACAAAGGTGAGCACTTGCAGCTGCAATTACAACAGTCCTGAGAAACTTTCCATAGAATATTTCCCAAATAAATAATCTTTCACAAGAATAATTCTTTACTCATACAGCACAGTTTGTTCATTTACTGTACACACAACTAGATATGACAACCAGTCATCTTCAATGACAGGATATGGTTAAAAGATAGACAACAAAAGATGGTCATGCAGTTCCTTAAATCAATTATTTGCTAGTTTTCAAATCGTATACAAAGCAATCCTAAAAAAGCTCAAAGTATTTACCTCTATATTGTCCATAGCAGCTGCATTGGCATTTGACTGCTCTCCTTTGCTAAAGGAGAATCTGACCTTCCTGTCTGTCAGTGACTGACTTTCATTGACACAAATACATTAACACACAACAAACAGGATATGTTACACCCTTCATATTCTAATAACTATTTGTATTACAGTTTTGTTACTTATTCATTAGGCACCATTTTTTAAACCTTTGGCTGTACAAAACTCCTCACACAAATCGTACAATCATTCACTCAATTCGAAAAACATCATAGATCACACTTACTTAAAATGTTATTTTCATACACAACAGCACACACAGCCCATAATATTAATGAGCACAAATCAGCAACAACTGAACACTGACGGTTAGAATGGAAAACCCATCTGGCTTCTGCTTTCTCTGTGAGCTAGGCGGTTTGTCAGTTTGAAGTCATATTTTTTTGTCATTGTTCTGTAAACACAAAGGGCTCTAAATTCAGTAATTCAACAAGTATTTTCAAGCTGCATTCAAGGTGTTTACTGTATTTACTGTAATCACATCAAATACAAACAAGTGTTTCTACATTCCATAATTTCACAGCAAGAGAGAGAAAACCTCAGTCGACATTGTGCTCTCTCTGTGGACTGGGAAGGCAATTCAACAGTATCATATGCAAAGTCCAGGGCACAGGGAAAATACAGCTTGGAGGGCCGTATCCAGGAATGACATGAATCCTGGCCAATAGTCCCAATGCCTTCTCCGTTGCCTGTAAAAGGCCTATGCATTGATGTGTTGGATGTTCATACCTTCCTATGGCAGGAAGAAAAAGGGAGAAAACTGAACAAGGAAGAGAGGGGGATGATGATCCAGACCAATTTAAATGCGACGTCTATGTTGAACGGCATCAAGCTTTGTAAACTAATCAGAAAAGCTAATCCAGGAGTTTTCTGAGACAAAGACACAACATTCAAGCCAAGGTGGCTTCTGCAGAGCTGTCTGCATATCAGCATTTAAAAAGTGGCAGCAAGAAATACTGTATTATACCCTGCCTGGTCAACAAAAAAGTCACCACCTGGATTCAACTAAGCAAATAGGTATGAGCCTCCTATTGGATAATTACTGCATGGGCGATTATCTTTCAGCTGGCAACAAGTTATTTAACCCCAACTGGTGCAATGACTTGCTTCTCATTTCCTAAACAACCATGTCGAAAGACACATCCCGTGGTCGTGGAAAAGATGTTAGTCTGTTTGAGAAGGGTCAAATCATTGGCATGCATCAAGCAGAGAAAACATCTAAAGAGATTGCAGAAACTACTAAAATTGGGTTAAGAACTGTCCAACACATTATTAAAAACTGGAAGGATAGTGGGGACCCATCATCTTCAAGGAAGAAATGTGGCCTAAAAAATCCTGAATGATCGTAATTGGCGATCACTTAAACGTGTGGTGAGATCAAATCGTAGAAAAACAACAGTAGAACTCAGGGCTATGTTTAATACTGAAAGTAAGAGCTTGTTCACACGCACAATGCGAAGAGAACTCAAGGGATTGGGACTGAACAGCTGTGTAGCCATAAGAAAACCACTAATCAGTGAGGCTAACCGGAAAAAAAAGGCTTCTACTTGCCAGGGAGCATAAAGATTGGACTGTGGAGCAATGGAAGAAGGTCATGTGGTCTGATGAGTCCAGATTTACCCTGTTCCAGAGTGATGGGCGAATCAGGGTAAGAAGAGAAGCAGGGTAAGTGATGCACCCATCATGCCTAGTGCCTACTGTACAAGCCTGTGGGGGCTGTGTTATGATCTGGGGTTGCTGCAGTTGGTCAGGTCTAGGTTCAGCAACAGTATGTGTTCAAACAATGAGGTCAACTGACTACCTGAATATACTGAATGACCAGGTTATTCCATCAATAGACTTTTTCTTCCCTGATGGCACAGGCATATTCCAAGATGACAATTCTAGGATTCATCTGGCTCAAATTGTGAAAGACTGGTTCAGGGAGCATGACACATCATTTTCACACATTGACCACCACACAGTCCAGACCTCAAGACCATTGAGAATCTTTGGGATGTGCTAGAGAGGGCTTTGTGCAGCGGTCAGACTCTACCATCATCAATGCAAGATCTTGGTGAAAAATTAATGCAACATTGGATGGAAATAAATCTTTTGACATTGCAGAAGCTTATCGAAACAATGCCGTAATCAAAGCTAAAGGCGGTCCAACAAAGTATTAGAGTGAGTGACCTTTTCTTTTGGCCAGGCAGTGTATATTCTGGTACTTATAGTTTTTAACCACAAATCTAAAAAAAAAAATGCTTTAAGTTCACTTTCAGCCGCTACGAATGACAGCAGGAAGTTCCCAACAGCCTAGCTTCAGAGAGGTTTCACTTGAGACTCCCAGCGCTTACACCTGCAGGTATCCTGGGGAGATCTAGTTCTACATCTAGATTTAGTGTTTCTTTCCAGTTTTAAGTAAAAGTAGTTTGATTATCTTGTTAATTTGTTAATCCTTGTTGTATTTAAAAAAGCCTCTAGTACTCACATCTTAATATTAGTTTCTGATATCCAAAATACAGCCAATGCTGCAAGGTCCGACAGGGAAAACTACTGTAAGTCGAATCTTAGTTATAATGTGTAGTTAATTTATATACAGTAGTTACATATTACAAATAAAAGCATACCCCCTCCCCCCCAAAAAAATAACACATTGAGAGACATAACCTTTTGTCTTGTTCTCAATTTCAAGAAAAACTGATTTTTCTGACATTTGGCAAATATAGATAATTTTGCTAATCCAATCTGACCTAAA